ATCATAAGACTCAGATTTGGCAGTATTAGGGTTGGGCCTACCGGCATCAGATCCCTGCTTTGAGCTACTGCCCCAACCTGCGGTTGATTTCAACAGATCATCGTATCCGAAGTCCGTGAATTTCCGCTCCTCGTGCTCATCAAACTGACCTGGATTTTGAGAACCAATGGATCGGCCCGGGATACCTCCCGGAGCCAGAACCATAGTCCCTGGTCCCTGCGGCCTATTCTCAAACTCATCCGAGACCTGCGACTCACCTGGAACAAGAGATCTCGGAGGTCGAATCGGCATGGCCTCCGGGTCATCCGAATGAGGGCGGGCCATGTCCATCGCCATGCTGATGAAGTCAAAACGTCCACGCCTGTGACCTGATTCAGAGCCACTCCTATCGGAGTAAACCCTTCGTGTCTGCTCGTCATCAGTGGCCTGGCGGAAAATACGATCGTCTCCATCGTCGGCGTACCTGCCACGGCTCCTGGGTGTATCCCTACCGGGATCTTCACCCCTGCGGTCCTGACCTGTCGAACCTGCTTCGAAATCCTCGTAGTCATAGTCCGGTAGGTCCTCACCTGAGCGGAGGCCACCTAGGATGGCCTCCTCATCCACGACGCTCCTTCGAGATCGTGGGGTCGACATAGAGCTTGTAGTTGATGGTCTCAAGCGCGTAGGAAAGTCCTACGGCTGATAACCTGTGATTCGGGCACGAGCCTGTGCCCAGGCAATGGGTAAGTTGGGGTAAACAAGCCACAAAAGAAAGGTTCCCCAAAAGCAAACCAATCCCCGGTCCCAAAGATCAGGGTTTCCCACACACCAGAGAACAACAACCAAAGGAAAACAAACCAAACCAGAAAAGGATACCCGCAACCTAGATCGACGATGAACCGCACGGGCGATCCCCACCAACCTACCCCGGGCCGAAGTCTCTTTCTCCTCCGACACGAAGGCGGTCGACGTGAGGGCCCGGCGACGCTCATCCGAGGTGCGCCGGATCCAAAACTTGAGCCAAAACACCATAGGTCGGTCACTAACGCGACGTCCCTGATGATGATATGAACCATGGCTAATCACACAAACAAATACATCAACAAATAACTAGATACACAAATGGGGGTTGTGCAAAACTACTTTGACTGCACAACCCCCAATCGCCGGCCAATCGCGATCCCACAGGGCCCAATCGCATAGCAACACTGGGCATCGCCGCTGTTTCAGTTTTACTTCTTCTGTCTTGTCTCAAGTGCCGGCCTTCCTCCATCCATACCTGGAAAAAGGGAGAAAGTGGCGCAGTTCGGATGGGCAGCCGCCTGGGCCTGCGCAAACGAAAACAACCTTCAGCTTTCCAGGAGGAACTTTTTGCGAGCCCGCGGAGTCAAAATGAGCGAGACGTGCGTTGCGGTGTCCAAATCCATGATATTTGTGTTGCCCTTAGACAATCCAATCGCCGGTTGAACAAGTTGCCGCTGTTCATGTGTTACACATGCAACTGCGGATGACCCATGAAAACAATCACGTAAAACGAAACAAATCAACCAGAAAACCATGAAAAAAAAAAAAAATGAATAAAATGAGGGAACAACAAACAAATAAGCAACAAACAAATACACAAAATGAAGAAATGAATAAAAACAATATCTTGTCAATAACCAGACAAATAAAGACACAGTAAAGCTAAAGATAAACACACAACTAAATAACTAAAACACAAACAACGAAAACAGCTAACAACACACAAAAAGTAAATGACTAAGCACACATACATAAACACATAAACAAACTACAAACAACATATCAAACCCATATGCACATAGACCACAAAAAACAAGTTAAACTACAAAACACAAATCAACGCAAATCAACACAAAAGCACATACACCAACAAAGAACCAACCAAACAAACAAACAAACAAACACATAAACAAGCAAGTGAAACAAATCACAACACATATATTATTGAATCAACACACAAAATAAATAAGGAACTAAACAAACAAACAAACAAACAAACAAACAAGCAAACAAACAAACACACCACAAACAAACAAACAAACACACCACAAACAAACAAACAAACACACAAACAAGTAGATACGTGAAACATACAACTAAACAAATACATCAAGCAAACACAAACTGAATTACATGTTTTAATGTGTTCTGAAAACAACGTAAACACACACATACAACACAACATGTGTTATAAACAAATAAATACACAACCAACTAAGAAAACACACAAATGCATAACTTTCAGCAACATAACAGAAATAAGTAAGTAAACAAACCAAGAACCAAACGAACAAAAAGCAATACACACATAAATCCCAAAACCTACAAATAAATGCAATAAGACCGCACGTACATGAGTAAAGATCTCTATATCTACCAGGGGCGGCTAGCCGAGGCTGCGAAGGGCACGAAATATTGGGTGCCATGGCAAGCGATGAAAATGCTTCGTCTCCACCACGTGCGCCGTGCAGAACCGCTCGAACCTGGCAAGCGGTTCACGGGTAGTGGCAGGGATGCAGTGAAAGCAAATGCTGTTTCAGTTTGGTTCAAATCGTCAAAGAAAAGCCAACTACAAAATCGGAGAAAGCAAATACTCCCCCAGTTTGGTTCAACTAGCCAAACTAGAGGTCAATTGAGGGAGTTGCGCCTTCTGCTTTTGCCCAGATGCCGGCGGACACCACTGAGGCAGACCGACCATGTACTCTAGAAACATAGGGGGAAGGATTCCGGAAGGATATCCAATTGTTGAGGGTTTGTGATCAAGCTAGCAACGTCAAGCCCGACAAACTCACACCTCGATAATGGCAATGGTCCTACGCTGCGAATGGTTTTAGAACGGCAGATTCCTGAGAATTCGAGGGGTTTGCTGGAAGTCTTGAACCAGGTAGTCCCCTTTTTCAACCTTGACCGGAGTACCTTAGCACCAAAGCCAGTCAAAAGCCTTTCCGGCTGCCCCAAAAAAGTCTGCCATGTTGGAATCAGCCGTCCAGCACTCAGAGCAAACTTGGTCGAAAGTTGCAGGGTTGACCCCCCACCCTGACGAAGCCTAAGCACGGGAAACCTCAGTGCCATTCCTTGCGCTGTCTCTTCTTTGCGACTGGCGTCTTGCCGTCAACGTCTCTACGAAGTCTGTGCTTCACTCGCATCCAAAACCTGTGCGATTTTTCGAGCAACCTTGCGCGACGGATGGGCTTCCGCCTCCCCCCCCACAAGACTTACCCATCTGGGTCGATCGGGTGGAATTCTGACCTGGAAGCACATGTCCCAAAGGATCCTTTCTGGATAAACCGGTCAGACAAACAGCCCTCTCTAAGGCTGCGATTTGCCCTGCTACGTCTTCGAAGGTTACTTTATGCCTTTAGACTGGACAATTGCCTTGAAGCTTTGCTCTATCATTTTTGAGGCCACCAAAGCCTCTCGCAAATGTCACCAGTGCTTTGGGGAGGAAGCAAAAGATCCACCCGCCAGGTTCCGAACTAGCTTTCTGATCGCTGAGAGGTATCCGTCTAACGCCCCGTCTGAGCCATAAATTGCCCATGCAGGGGTCCACTGTTCGTCAGATTTGATGAAACAAAAAGAAAAAACAACAGAGCCCGGTTTCCCCGCCGAACTAGTTCTACTTCGCATGCGAGTGAGCAACCTTGTGAGTGACGTCATCTCCTGGAGACCAGCGCAAGTTCCTTTTTTAGCTAAACAAACATGGATTCGCTCTGCACCTTGCGGGTCCGTCTTGCTATTTTCTCAAGGGAGTCAAGAGGCAAAGTTTCCTTGGGAATCCAGAATTCCCAAGCTGCACTGAGAGATTCGGATATTCTGCGCGTCCGTGGCAAACTCCCGCAAAGCCACGCTTTGCAGATTCCGCAGGCCAGTCAGGGCAGCCCTTCAGCCTTGTTGTCTTTGGTACGGTACGATTGCTTCAGCCCAAATAGAATGGGTTTTGGACAGTTCATGTGCTCCGCTCGTGGATGCACTGTAGCGGACGCAGATCTGACAAGTGGACCTACTAGAATTACCATAAATAAGTTTGGGGGAATACCGCCTTGTCAAGCCGCAATATTGTTTTCTTAAATCTGAGGTGGCTTAGTCTGAGTGACTCCAGAAACCAAGGGCGCCTATGTTGCCTGATTGCAAACGAGCACCCTGGCCACAAATATGTATATTCTAGATACACACACATATAATATATATATATATGTATATAAATATGGATATATATCTGCAACCACATTTACGATGCCCCGTATTGAATATCTCAAACCTGTGCATGTGGCCAACTATGTTGATTGACTGCATGTTGTGCCGTAACCTCGAATTTCATGTATCGCACGTTCGAACGAGTACAGGGCTTGCCTGAAGTTACGCACACCTGGGAGGAAGGGGGGCTGAACTTTCCCCACTGCCAAAGGGTGGTCAACAGTAAACGAGAAGTTGTTTCAACTTGCCCCCCAGCAATCACAAGCAAACGTGGATTGGTGCAGGTGAAAGGCAAATTGCCCTTGACCAGCAGAAATGACATACCCTTTCCCAAAGTTGAACATTCGGACATTTTTCGGCTTCATGCACCATCGGACAGAGTGGATTTCTCGCATCCTGAAAGCTTGTTTATTTACCACTGAAACTATCCCCCCCTCCCCTCTCTCCCAAACAACACAAGCACTTACTGGGGGAGTGAGATCCCCACCCTTGAAACTAGGCAAATCTCGCTGTGGATCTCCATGCATCGGGGACACCCAACTGTCCATGCGGACAACTCGAATCTCCGGCGGGTCCGCGTGCCGAATCCTTGGGAAGACATTGGGGGATAAATGCATGACAACCCTGGGTTGATCAATAGGGGAGGGTCCTCTTTTTGCGCAGTTTTTTTCCCGGGGCCAAAAACCCAGAATGTTCGAATTTGAGGTACTGTCAGCATTCTGCTTTCACCATGAAAGGAGAAACGCATAGGCAAAGTCCTGCAGCTGGTGGTTCATCCATGCTAACTGAGAACAGCGAGGGTCAATATGAGTTGTGAAAGACTAACCCTGCACATGGGATCCCGCTCACAGCTCGTCATGCGCGCACAGCTCGTAGTCTGGTCTCTTCTTTGTCCTCAGTGGCTTCCCGTTCTTTACGATTCCCAAGCCACCCTCAAACACATGTGTGTGTATACCTGAGCCTAAACCTTGAGCATTGAAGTTGAAGTATCGTTGAAGTGTCCCCAAATGATAAACCGTGAATTATTTACCGAAACAGATTTAGACAGCAAATAGCAATGTCATAAAGATCACATACCCACATTCATTGCATGGGTAGTGGCAAGGCTCCTTCTGGGTAATTCCCACCAAGACTTAAGGGGTCCCCCTTGCTAAAGCAACCACCTCTAGTTCCGAGGAATCCTGTCTGATGTCAGTTCCTAGGGAGAGCTGAACCAAGGCTGTGGGCTCCAGTGCGGTGGGCCTCTTGAAGGGCATGGCATGTGGGGGGGGGGGGGGGTAGGTAATACGCTTGCTTCGGTGATGACTTCCTGGACTAGATACTTTTTGGGACGACCGTTTTAGTGGAAAACACTAACTTCAGATGTCCGCCGACATGGAGGATAACCCCCCCCCCCCTAACCCCCCCCCCCGCCCGATGTCTGATACGTGGGGTACGGGGAAACGTTGTCTTCGAGGAGCCGGTGTCGCAAAACATTGTTTTTAGGCTCGATTCCCCCTGCCGGCTTTTTGCTGGTTTGGGGTTCCTGCCTCCTGTTGCCGAAAATCTGGAAAAAACTCTGTGTTTTTGGACGTCCTATTGCGAAAACGCTAAAAAAACGTGTTTTTGGCGGGACATATTGGGGAGCAAAGGGGGAACGCAAGGAAGTGCAAGGAAATGAGGGGAGGAAATAGGAAGTTTAACATGACAGGAAAGCAACGGGAAATGAAAGGGAAACAAAGGGGAACTGAAAGGGACATGAAAGGGACAGAAATGAAACCAAGGGGAGTGCAGGGGAAACAAAGCACAAGGAAACCAATCAGCACGACGGGAGATGTAGGGAAATGACTCGCAACGAAAGAACGGGACATACATGGAAAATGAAGCGGACATACCGAGAAAATGTCAGGGACATGAAGGGGGAGTTGAAAGGCATGGAAGGGACATGACCAGGACATCATGGGAAACGTGAAAAGGACTTGAAGGGGAAATCAAGGGGAAAGCCAGTAGTGAGATGACAGTTCAGGGTCATGAAGGGGCAGTGCCCGGACATCGAGGCAACTCAGGGACGTGACGCTGCAATGCAGAGAGAGAGAGAGAGGGAGAGAGCGGGAGAGAGAGAGGGAGAGAGAGAGAGAGAGAGAGCGAGACACAGAGAGCGAGAAAGAGAGAGAGAGAGAGAGACAGAGACAGAGACCGAGCCAGAGACAGAGCCAGAATTAGAGAAAGAGACAAAGAAAGACACAGACAGAGAGAGAGAGAGAGAGAGAAATAGAGAGAGACTGAGAAAGAGAGACACAGAAAGACAGAGAAAGAGAGAGAGACACAAAGACAGAGAGAAAGAGCGAGAAAGTGAGAGAGTAGAGGGGTTCGAATTAGGGTACCCTTTTTCTGTAGAGGGGCGTGGACAGGAAGGAGACAGGGAGACAGAGAGAGAGAGAGAGAGAGAGAAAGAGACAGAGAGAGAGAGAGAGAGAGAGGGAGAGAGGGAGATTGAGGAGAGAGAGGCTTGGGGGGATGGGGGGGATGGGGAGCAGAGGGAGGGAGAGAGGACGACAGAACACACGAAAAAGACAAGGGAGAGAGGAAGAAGAAGAAAAGGGAGAGGACAATGTCGGCGGACTGAGCCGGAGGCTCTAAAGTTTGTTTGGCCCAAGCACTCAAGAAGTGAGATGGCCACTGGTTTTGGAGCCATGTTGGTATAAATGCCCCGCGGGTTTCCAAGGGTTCCACCACAAATCCGATGAGACTTTCTCGAAAGGCCCTGCACTATGGACACGATGGGTTGCTCCCATTCGATACCAGAAATAAAGCCCCAGGGAAACTCTTGACCATGGTCTACCCAAGTGGGGGCTGATCCTCCTTTCTTGGCCCACATCTGGAATGCTCCAAAATCACATGTTCGGATCCCGCTTCATATTACATGTTTAAGACCAAGTCTTGGGGCAATGACGGGCCATACGGATAAATCGACACATGGTGAAGAACTCCCACTGGTTCGCAACGGTTGGTCAACCACGTAGCTTGAGACACCGTTGGTAGGTGCCGTCAGCGTTCTTGTGATGGATTCAGACCATTCCACAGCTTCCAAACATGGGCCACCCGATCTCCATTCATATACCACTCATCCAACCAGCTTGTAGTTGGTGTGGCTACCCCCGGTTTGGGATACCGTAAAATGGGCCCATGCTCATGGCCAATACGACTTTCTGAATAGGTACGCATGTTGAGCCAGCGGTTGCGCCTCAAATTGGGAGCCTCCACCCCAAGAAGCGTAGCCTCAACGACCAAGCCCTAGGCCTATGGAACCTACTTCCATCAAGCTCTTGGGTTCCAACTGCTTGGTGAAGAGGTAGACGTATGTCGTGCACCTGACATGCTGCGAAGTGGAATTTCGAAGGTGGTGGTCTTTCCTTTCGCCTGCAAGTAAGCACAAAGGCAAAAAAGAAACCCAAACAAAAAACAAAAAGGCTCCAAGTAGCGCAAACCCACAAAAAGGCTCCAACCCACAAAGGAAACCCACAAGCACAAAGGCAGGAAGGCACAAAAACACACCCAAATGGAGGTTTGGCTAAACTCTGGAATGGCTTGTTGGTAGCATCGAGATCGTCATCACGTTTGATAGCCTGCCTATTCTCAGTACATCCGGGCCGCGCTTATCCAAAGGGTCTGAGAATAAAAAGTTTGGCTTTTGGAACCTTGACAACCATGTCCTTTCAGAACTCCTGGAAGCTCCTTAGCCCCCTCTTGCAAGGCAAACTTTTGGATACCCCAAGCTCCTTCGCTCCCTTCAAACCACTAGCTGGTTGAGTGTCGAGCTTCCGGGTGTCCTCGGACAAGAGTGCACCCTCCCAGCTAAAGTGGTTTGGTGCACGGACCCCTGTAGAAGACTACTTTCCTCTTGGTTAGTTTGCCTTTTTGCACTCCCATGTTAGGTGGGAGGGTCAAGGATCCAATCTCAGGATCAGACTGCACCTGGTGCCCAGGCAGAGTCGCCAGCTGCTGGTTTCTTGGTTGGCCCTTGGTTTACGTGTTCTGCCGACTCCAAGTAGGCCGGTTGACGGCCCACTTGCCCACTTGCTGGCTGGCTGGCTTGGCCTTGACCTGGAAACAAATACCTAAAAAGACGAGAGAAATACCGCAAAAGGAAAACACGAGAATAAGCCTCTGGTGTAAGGCACACGAGCGTGGCATGAGCCACACGAGCGTGGCATGAGCCAGCGGTCTGGGCCCGTAAGCCTTCATTGACAATGGGAACTCCGAATTCATCCAACCTGGATGTCACCCACAAATGACGGATTCAACCACTAAAAAGGGACACCCCCCAATTACTAATCAACCGGGGTTGAATTCCATCTTGACAAAATATCAAAATGAGCAGGGTTCAGCACGAGGCCATTCTGGAGGATCTGCTTCATTCCGAGCACCGGACAGCGCTACGCGGATGAAACAGGCCACGAGGATTGCGTGGAAGAACCTCACGAACGCTTTTTTGCAAATCTTGGCTTCATAGCAACCAGCTACAGGAACGTCTACCGGAAACTTGCCGAATTCCCACGAACAACTTGGATTTCCTGCAGAATTTCCAGTAGGTAGTTTCTTAGTAGGTGCACAAATCCGCCCCATGCCCTAAACCCGCACTAAGAAGCCCCTTAAGCCGCCTGACTTCCTTCCGGACCACGCTCAGGCCTTCATGCGGGACGGGCAAACGGAAGAAAGAAAACCTGGCAGGTTTCAAACAACTTCCTGAGTGGATTGGTCTGTAAGCTTGGCGCAAATCTGGTGATATGTGGCTTCGTTTCTTCCTAACTCTGGCAATGTCAGCAACTTTCGCCGAGCGTTCCATCAACAAAACCCAAGAACCAACTCCAAGAAACCCTGTGAGTGAGGTTAGGGGCTGAGCACATTCAATGACTAAAGCAAGCTTCGGGAGATTGATGAGCCAAAAAGTGCTTGACAGGAAGCCTTCAGGGGATGTCCCTTAGAGCTTTAGCAGCCTACGTGGGGTTCGGGGTCCAGTTTCCTTCGGCAAGATTGAAAATACACTGGGGTAACCTCAAAAACAGTCACGACTCAAGCTTTTGCGGTAAAATTCTGCCGTAGCTTAGAATAGCAGACAGCTGGCTCCGTTCCCCCCAACAAGGGACCCCCAAAACTCTAAACATTGTTTCCCCCAAAGTTCGAAGTCCGCACATGTGTGTATACATAAACACATAAATAAACAAATCAATAAACAAAAAGCCAGCAACCGCCACTTTCCAAGGGGTAAGCATTACAGTCTCCTCATTGTCATTTTACTCCACTGACCACCCGCGAACTGGAATTTGGCCAGGTGTTTGTGCGTGTGCGTGCGTATAACCCGTTCCGAACAGGATGACTGCACAAGCCAACACACAAATCAGCAATTTATCGTTTGAAACATTTTCCTGTTCGGGGAGTTCGTCCATTGTGCCTCCCCCCCCAAAAAAAATAGAGAGCGGGCCGCCATGGGGCCTGGAGTTGTGCAAATAATGAAAACGCGGCATTTTGTGAGGAATACACCAGAAACAGTTGAAATCCCATGGCAAAGTGTACACGCTGCATACTGCATGCAAAGAATGAGCCTCGTTTTCCTTGCTTCTGTTTTTCTAAGGGTATGCCCATAGTATTCCTCGTCTCTTATTAGGGCAACACTAAAACAATACAAGGGCAGTACTAGGGGAATGCTAGGGCAATACTATGGAAATACTTTGGGAATGTCAAGGGAATACTAAGGGAGAATATTAGGGGAATGCTCAGGGAATACTAAAGGGATACTCTTAAGCTCAACCTGTCTGAGTTCTGTTAGTTTCCTTGCTAAGGCGACCATAGGGGAGTATTCAGGGAATACTAAAGGTGAATACTATGAGAATACCAGGGGAATATTGAGGGAATACTTGGAGTATACTAAGATAACACTTCAGGACTACTAGACTAAGAGTACTCCCTTAGTATTCCCTTGCTCTTCTGGACAGTTTGAAGGGAATACTAGGGGGGTAGTGATGGAAATGCTAGGGGTATGCCAAGAGAACACTGGCAATACTATGGAAATACTTTGGGAATGTCAAGGGAATACTAAGGGAGAATATTAGGGGAATGCTCAGGGAATACTAAGGGGGGGATACTCTTAAGCTCAACCTGTCTGAGTTCTGTTAGTTTCCTTGCTAGGGCGACCATAGGGGAGTACTCAGGGAATACTAAAGGTGAATACTATGAGAATACTAGTGGAATATTCAGAGAAAACTAGGAGTATACTAAGATAACACTTTAGGACTACTAGACTAAGAGTACTCCCTTAGTATTCCCTTGCTCTTCCTGGACAGTTTAAAGGGAATACTAGGAGGGTAGTGATGGAAATGCTAGGGGTGTGCCAAGAGAATACTAGAGTTAGACCAGGGCAATATTAAAGGTAATCCCCTAGTATTCCCCTTCTCTTACTGGGCAGTTTAAAGGGAGTACTAGGGGGGTAGGGATGGAAATGCTGGGGGTATGCCAAGAGAATACTAGAGTTATACTAGGGCAATACTACAGGTAATCCCCGCCGCGACAAGTCATCCCATCACAAAGATTGCGAAGATCTTCGAAAGCCAGATTCTCCGCCTCGACGGCCATTTCGGACAAAGAAGGCAGAAGTGCGGGGAGTCAATAGCTACACTGCTTGAGGCGCTATCGAAAATTGAGAAGCTCAAAAAACCTCGAGGAAACCCCAACCCCCCCCCAAAAAAATATATAAATAAAATAAATAAAATAAAAAATAAAACCAATCCCCCAGACAAAAGGTGCCAGGCCAATGCATGTCCCCAGGGCTTTTTTTAAATAATAAAGTTGTTTTTTGGGGTTTCCTCGAGGTTTTTGCATTTCCTTTCCCCAGTGCATATGTTTTTGCCTCAAGAAACACAGAAAAACACGGTTTTTCCTTGTTTTCACCACTCCAGGCCCCATGGTGGCCCCTTCTGAAAAAATACACCTATTCGCCTAGGGGCGGAGCAATGTCTATAGAGTACGTTGGGGTAGTTTCCTCTACAGTTTTCGTCTAAATGGGGTCCCCTCCTTTCTGGACCCAAAAACTATTTCCGAGTCTGGAATTGAAAGAGCAGAAAGGCTTGTGTTGAATTGGCTGAAATTGGGCTAGTATTGGTTCTGTATTGGTTCTGAGCAGTGCCCCAATACGACTGGAGTTGGTGTCGACGGGACATTTGCTGGTTTGGAATTGGCTTAGTTTTTGCTAAAACTCATTCAGTCTCACTGGGAGATTTGGGGTCGCGGGAAAAATAGATGAATAGGGGTGCATTTATAGACAGGGAGAAGCGATTAGTCCCAAACAAATCAAAGTTCTGATTCGGTTCTGTGCCTATCCAGTTACAAAAAAAACCTGCCCAAAAATCAGGATGGATCCGAATACACTTGCCTTGAACCTTCTTCTTGGCCAAAGCAGCGTTTTCTACCACAAAACCTGGCTTGATTCTTGGAACCCGCATTTAGAAAAACAGTGCAAAGCCTGTATAAAAGCCCTAACAAACCCTGGCTTTGCGAAAACTGCGTCTTGTTCTGGACACCTGGGTTTTCTGGGCTTGGGGAACCTTACTTTGCGTAGGATCTTGGAGCAGGATTCTATCCACCCCAGAAAGGCAGAAAGGCCTAAGTCAAACTCAGGAACCCTACCAAGCCTCCAGGGTTCTTAGGCCCTGATGGAACCCAAACCAGTCAAATCTCCTCTGAAGGGAACTTCCGCTTTTTCGGTTTTGGGGGGTCCGGTTCTTCGTGCCAAGGTGCGTGTGGTCTCCATCCTGGTCGAACTCTTTGTACCCTCGGCGCAAGTGGATACGGCCATGTCCCCAAACCCCATCCAGCACTCCAACTTATAGGTGTCCTAAGAGGCGGTGAAGAACTTGGGATAGTAAACTAGGCTTTTAACCTCAACCTTGGGTGGTTAGTAACCTTATATCTTCCCCAAGAAGGGTCGCCACAGGCGCTTCAGAGGCGATGCTGCTCACTCACCCCAGCGGCAGACTTGGTGGAAGTTGAGGCCAAGGACATGAGAGGGAATAGGTCATTGAAATACGGATCGGCGCAACCCTGTCTGGACAAGCCAAAGGCCCTGAAACTGGAGTACCGGAGCTTAGGCCCAAGACGGCCACTGTAGCAGGAGCAAGTATTCCCGTAGACAGATCCTGTTGGTTGTCCTTCTTTCAGGGGTTGATGGCGAAACGGAGAATTTGAAGATAGGGCATTGGGATGCCAAAACAAAAGCGGAAGATCATGCGCTGAAAATGAAGAGCAATGGGGCATTCTGCTTAAATACTTACTGGCTTACTTGCAAGACTCGCCTCGACTGCTTAAACTGCCCAACAACAAAGCAAATGCATGAAAGGTCACTAGGCATGCTTGAGTCTACTTACTTGCGCAATGCACGCATGCCCATATGTTTGCAGCATCGAATGAATCAGGATCTGGGTACTTTCAAAAAATGAACCGTGGCTATAAGTGTCAACTGCTCGTCATGGTTTAGCCGCGCTTGATCTTGGCAATTCGAGGGCGTGCTAGCCCAAGGGCATGCCAAACAACACAATATTGGTTAAAATGTAAATTACTTAAGACCCCGGTGTTGTGTGGGCACATGTCTAAAATTGGGCGACCTAGTCCCCTGATGTCCCCTGCAAGCCCCCCCCAAAAAGGGGCACCAGCTCCGAAAAAAACAAGCCCACATGGGTGCAGACATATTTCAGGACCGCTTGAACTGGGTGAAACCGCGAAACCCCGAACCTCGGGACCATGTCGAGGCAGGCGCTGTCCCGCGTAACGCGGCCCCAGAAGGCCGCAAAGACCACCGAAGACCCCAGCCTGGGTTGACAGGCGGAGATTGCGTTCTCCTTTTGTCTTTCTCGATTTTTTTGGCAGGGGGAGTCGAAAAGGGGAACAACAAAGAAAAGCACCAGGGTCGGGGGTCCCTGGAGTGGATGCTGGTAAACCCTGAAGATGGTGCCATTCAAATTAGTAAAGGGTTGACATAGTACCATTAAACAAGTTGGTAGTTGGAGTAGAGGGCATGAAGCTCCCGTATGAACCTGCTAGCTTGTTGCTTTATTCAATGAAATGACACCCCAAGAGACTCCAACATGGCGAGTGGCGCACAAATGAATGTGCAACGACCCTTGACCAAAACCAGAACGCTGAATTTAGGAATCCCCAAGTAAGGGACCTTCATCAGGGATCCTTACATTATACGCCTGAACATTGCCTTGTACATGGTGGCTTCCAACTTTATTTTGGTGCTGAAAAAGCCACATGTTTCAACTGGCAAGGCAAAATGTTTTTCGGTTAAGGAGCCCTGCCCAAGGGACCTTCATAGGGCAAATACCTACCACCTGCCTGCGGTGCTTCGAACGAACATGGCAGAGGCTTCGGCGAAAGCCCGGCGAAGTGGGCGGCGCTCTCATCCACATAGCCGGCGCCGGTCACCAGCAAATACACCTGGCTGGGTGCCCGGCAGAAGAAAAAAACGGGGTGACCCAGTGACCCATCCCCTTTGGGGTTTCCACCAAGGGGTCTGGAAGAAATGCCTATCCGATTTCGGCTTCCCTGAAAGCAGGTGTAGGTCATCCATCCCCCGATTTTTTCAATTTGGGAAACCCAAGCAAAATCATGAGCTATTTGCCCGTCCCCTTTGGCTTTCCCATTCAGAAAGCCAAGGAGGAGGGGCTATTTTAGCACCCAGCTCGAGAGATCTCAGCGGCTGGTGGATTGAGGGGTGGCTCCGGCCAAAATCGGTGATCCACAACCTTAACGTGGACTAGGTAAACGCATCAACCAGGGCTGCATTAACCTGATTGGCGTTTGAAGGTTCCGAAGGGCTTGCCTGTTCCCAACCAGAACGGCTTCACCAGCCCAAAACTTCAAACTACCAATGACTGGCGATCTCAGAACAGAATATGAGAAGATTCCGTTCCCTAATTGCATTGCATACTTGTTTTTGCTTGTTTGTTGGAAGAGGAATTGTTAAAAAGACAAGAAACATGTTTCCTACTAAAGCGGCTTTCTTCGGAGAACAGACGGCAGAGAGTCCTTGAAAGTTCAAGGGAAGCCGCTTGTCCAGCAAAAGTCAACATGTTGCCGCTGCCACGTACTGGGAACCCGCAAGACCAAAAAAGCAAACATGTTGGCTGAGGCAATGTTTAGTCCTGAAAGTGGGGCAAACCCTTAACTAAATCCTTTTGGAACCCAACGGCACATATTTTTGGAATCCGAAAGTGGACCCATCGACAAGCCCAAGTCCATGGAACTAACGGCGCTGGATCTCCGGACCAATGATATGGGTATGCCCCAAAGGCCAAGACGCACGTTGTTTGGGGCATCAGTCGATTCCCCAACAAGCCTGGAAGTAAAAGGTGGTCACCTTTTGGGGCCACTAAAAAAACCTCCAGGTCAACTTCAGGTCAAACTTCGCTTTGCAAGTGAACTCATGTCAGACCTCAGCTTGGCCTACCTGGAGTCTCCATGACCCTTCAAAAATGGTTGGTCATTACCCAAAATAATGGGGCCATGGACCCATTTTTCAAGGGTCATGGAGACTCCAGGAACCACTGGGCCTTACACCCCCAACCCCACCGCGCGCAAATTGCGGTCTCGCCTGTGGGGCCAACGCAAAGGCCTCCAGCCAGGTGGAGAACATCCAGCCTCAGTCAGTTTTAGTTGCTTCAGGAACCTAGGAGGAAATTCCTTTACTACGTCCTCCAGTAGAAAGGTTAGAATAAGGGTACCCTTTTGTCTGTAGTCTATTTTAGTAGGGGAACCCTCCTCCAAAGAAGGGGTAAAAGGGCACTACTAGGGAACCTAGACAAAAATCCGATACCTCAGCAACCCAAACCTGGAAACGAGAATTGGAGATCACCTTTTGAAACCTCCAACTACCTCCCCCCCCCCAAAAAAAAAGAGTGTCTTTTTCCTTTTGCTTTTTTTGCCTAAGTCACGAGAAACCGGGGTACCAACTCCAAAAGTCTTTTGAGCAAGTCTAGAGCCGTCGGGGCTCGATGAATCGGATGGGGTGTCTTCGCCTGAGTGGGGATCCCTCAGGCTACTTCCCCGCAACTGGTGTGGGACAATTGGTGAAGAATTGAAGGACCCACTTTTCTGATGCAAATGTGGCAGGCGAAACGAAGATGTGGTTTTAGACTGAAAGTCCTACATCCCTTCCCTACATTCGCATTCAAGACCATCCCCGTGAGAATGAGCAAGTGGTATCAGGGTTCCGGCAGGCTCCGGCAGGCTCCCTGCAACAGCTTGCAGTTTTGGCCGGGTGTGGAAACTGTTGCTATGCCAAAACCACCCAACACGGCAAACAAGCATAGTGGAACGACCCGCTTGTGTGCCTAGGTTGGTTTCTAGACAAGATTGTGGGGGATCTGGGTCTCTACCCATGCAGTTGATCCAGCAACCTGTGGATTCATCCTGGGTCATTCCTGAAGTTCATCCGGCCTCCTGTTCCATGCCATCACTCTTTGACCGAGGGGCTCATATCTGCCCAGTAGTCGTCGTGGCCGGTGCTCTTCGTAAAGTAACTTAGTCGTGGCTGGTGACCCGCTGCTTCTGTATTGAATCCTCACATCCCATGGCTGAGGGAAGGAACTGAAGGAACCATTTGGCGCGTACCACTAGTATGAGTTGGTGGAAAAAACCGTTTGCAGTCCAGAATCTGGTTGGAAGTGAGCGAAGGGAGTTCACGTGAAATCTACCAGCTCATATGCCCACATGTTCTAACTAAGAACTGGGACCTTTTGGGACCTTGACTAGGCATCGACCAGTCGAGAGACCCAAAGCTGCCTTTTTACCTTCTTTCTCTAGACAAGTCCTCTTCGTAGATATCGTCCCCCCCTACGCTCGTGAACCTAGAACGTCGAAATGGCAATTTGCCTAAGCTGATGGGAAAAAGTGTGTCTGGGCAAGATGTAACGGCAGGCGGGAAACCCATCCAGCCCAGTCAAACCAGGAACTTCGAAATCGCAAATCTAAACAAACGGCAAAGCATGCGTCCGGGCAACGTAATGGCAGTGCGTGCCAGCTTGGACAGGGCCGGGAAGTGAGCCCCCCTCAGCCTGCCCTGTAGACCTCTACTGGACATTCTTACATGTTCTGAGGGGGAACTGACCGTCACGCCCCTCAAAGAGAAACCTCAAGCAAAGCCTCTTCGCAAGTAGCCAACGCAGCGTGGGGCGCAAACTATGGGAAGGGAAAGTATACCGGAACACTAAGAGACGATGCGAAGACTGCAAGGCTGCAAAAAGACTCAGAATACCTACAAGAGAAAACGGAGCAAACTATGAGACGTCTATGTTGAAAATGCGGGGCAGAGGCACAAGTGGAGCACTGGTTTTCGCCTGGCAAGGCTCGATAAAAGAATCCGTGAAATCCGTTGCACAACAAACTCCCAGCTCGATGAATATGTTGCCCATCTCGCGGGGCAAAACTCCCTGACAGCTCATGACGACCGAGTTTAGCCCCAAGCAAAGTAGATGTTTCCCCCTTGAAGCATCAGCCCTTTCCGGGACACTCAAATCGTGAGATCCTGAGGAGAATGGTGGCTTATTTCGAACCCTCCAAAAGGCTCCGTAACAAAAATCCCAGCGGCGCCAGGACCGCTGAAACTCCACCTCGGGCCGTCCGAAGGGTCGGACTCGGGGACTCGGGAGCCCTCCTTAAACGCAACATTTGAGCCGTACCCCCGCGGTTACAAAGCTTTATTTGGCTGTTTTTGTTTGAAGGTACCCCTTCTTGTCTGGGATTTAAAGGGAAACCGAAGCCATTGTGGGAGTCCCCTAAGAAGGGGACACCGCTTTACCGCGGTTATACTCAAATGGGTGTGTCTTGTTCAGGGTTATACTCATATGAGCTCCACCTATATTTGGGGTGTGTCTTGTTTTGGAAGGTACCCTTCCTTCTCTGTGTTGTTTTAAAGTAGGAACTCCGAAGCCATTTGCGGGGGTCCCCGAGGCATGCCAAAAACAACTAAGGGGCGCTTGGGTGCTGGGCAAAAGCTGGGATCCTTGTTCCGGCTGGGGGTTTGCTAACTGAAAGTGGTACACACTTGGGGCGACTTTGACGGCACAACCATGGGGCCAACAGCGTTAACTTGTTGGGCCTTGAATGCCACACAAATGATGAGACCGTCAGACCATGGACTGCGGGGCCGCATTTCTGGCTCCTTGGAGTTTACCCTTTTAGTTAAGTCTGGTTACAGATGAAACCTGAATGCTGGTTGGCATCGTCCCTTTTGCCCGATGGAATCAAAAGACTACCTTGGTTGGTTAGAAAAGCCGTTGCTTGTGGGCAAGCCAACCACTTCAAAGACTTGCCAACGGTGTTACTCAATGCGTTCCCATTCTCCTTTGCACTGGGCCAAATCAGGGACCTTGCCACGCTCCAAAACAAACATCCCCCCAACTCCGGGAAGGTGCTCCTGGGTATTTGGAGGTTCCTCCGATGGCTCCTTCAGAACCGGTGTGTGCGTATTGGCTACAACCCTGTGAAATTTGCAAGAAAAGAAACCAAGCACTTGGAATTCAACAAGGTCTTCTTTGCTCCTTTACAACCTTGGAAAGCCATCTGCACTAGCCAATTGAATTAAATGCATGGCTTTCTTCCACTTCGCATATCGTCCTCGTTGATTTAACATGTCATTGAGCTTTAGGGAAATGTGTGCAATCCCTAGCAACACTTCATACGGGGAGTGCCTGCGGCATGGACATCAAACAAAGAAACCAATCACAGTATCTTTACCCTGAAAGGAGGCTGATCCCTCAATCGGGGGGAGGGGGGGCTTTGATGCCGACTAAACAAGGTGACCAGTCAACATGTATGATAAGTCCATCATTCCAGGAGATAGATGGGGGTTCCCATAAAACTATGTCCATCTGCAGGGCTCACATAATCACCGAAAAGAAGCACACTTTAAATCGGCAACCAAGACGTGACGTTTATACCCACCAAGAGTGTTGCCCCCAAGTTTGCGGGTTGCCCTTTTTGGTGAATGAAGCATCCCCCTTTTGTGATTTTGCAAAAATCTTACCAAAATTTGGGCGCGCACCCCTTTGAGGTACACAAAATGGGGCGTGTTTGCCATGCGGCATAGGAGGCCTATGTCGAATCCGAGGCCCGGGCACATGCCGATGACCTGGCTCCAGCGCTCGATGCCTTGACCCACGTCCTGGGAGCTGCGCACGGCGCTCAGTCGCATCACCTGCGCGAGGCAAGCCGCGAAGGCGCCCGAGACAGCGCTTCGAGCCACGGAAATTGGGAAAGAAGCAAGAAAACCTGCGAGAGAAGCCGCCCACCAGGAGCGCGAGGAGCGCGCTTCCAGCGAGGGAAATCCGGAAAAATAAAAGAAGAAGAATAAAAAAAAGCAACGCCAGGCAAAGAAGGGGGGAGTGCCACCTGGGCTGTTCCGTTTCTGGCTTTATGCAATATGGTTAATGGAAGTGTCCGCAGACCTCCCCCGGTCTGCAATCAGCACAAAGACATGAATTGCTTCTGTTGGGATTCCTTGCAGTTGGCGTCAAGTTGTTGTTTCTTGTGCAGCCGTTTGGGAGCCAACGGGAAGCCTTCGAAGCTGGAAGGCAGCCCCAAGACCTGGAAGTGTTTCTCCAAACACTCCGAGTTTTTGAGGTGCCGAGTTTGGCTTTGCGCGGTTCTCTTGCCAAACCCGGTAACCCGAAAAACCAAAGCGAGCACAGAAAGGTACTTGGGAGGCTGGCAGTTCTGCAAGGGCAACGTGTTTTTTGTGCTATCTGAGCGTTGTTTTCTTGCCTGGGCTTTGCAGACTGGTTTCCTTTTGGGGCACCTGGCAGGTGCGAAAGACACCTCCAAATTTAAGACAGTGGATTACAACGGGTTGGAAAGGTTGGAAAGAAAGCAAATGGAATATGAAGTCCCAACAAACAACAAACATCAAACAAACAAACAAACAAACAAACAAACAAACAAACAAACAAACAAACAAACAAACAAACAATAGCAAACAAACAAGCAAGCAAACTAACAAACTCAAGCACACAAGACAGGGAAACCCTTTGACTGAGCAAGCCCGCTTTCGCTGTCCTTGGCTGTTCACTGGCAACACATTCCAAAATGCACCTGAGTTTCAAGGGGAACTACGAGGGGGCGCGCCCTATAGACCTAACCCCTGCCACAAGTGTTCATGTTGATGGTTTTGGTGGGAGAAAATGCAAAGCTGATTTGGAAATGGACGAATCAAACAAACACATCGAATCTTTGGGTGCTGAGGTGGAAACGCGAGTGGGCCATGGTTGCCTTGGGCCTGCGCCTGCGCCTTTTTCCAGGAATCGGACCCACACCTGAAATTGTTGGCTTTCTTTTTGGTTCCCCTTTAACACCAAAAAAAGGGAGTACACCCATCCAAAAAAAAGAAGACGGAGCCTATATGCATTTCCGCTTAGGTGCGTGTGTGGCAGGCCTGGAAGACCACCACCAGCACCCCCAGCACTTCCAAGCCCTGGTACAAAAACACGTCCCCGGTGTTGTCCTGTGCTGATCGCATCGAGTGCACCAAGTTGAAACGGGGTTATTATTGATATCATAAACCCGTTGATTGTTTAACTATGATTTTTTGGGCACGCTATCATGTAGCTAGTCATGAATTACCATTAAAACCACCAAATATCATCTGAAAAGTACATACTATCCATCCTCCAGCTTACTTTTTTGCTTTGCCCCTAGAGTGGCATCTTAGGCCATGATGGACAAATCGAAACCTGGCATCTGCCGGAGGCCGTCCCCAATTTGTGGTCACTTAAATTCAATGGTTCTCTTACACCACTGTGCCTACCGGGGGAGCCGAAATAAGGCCTGAGGAACTTAATAAGAACTGATTTGGGATCCCTCCTCCCTCACTCTCTGCCCCCAGCGCCCCATGAAAACACATATGGGCGAGTTAGCTCTTCCAAGGCTAAGCGTACGGAAACTAATTCGAAGAATCCATCGTGTGTGGTCATACGTTGGCTTAAACAAACTTCAAAGGCATGGATTGCCCTGAAAGGGGCTTCGCAAAAGATGCGGTATCGCCTTGGCATGAGCCCCTGAACAGGCTTCGAATAAATGGGGTATGGCACCCGGTAACCTGGTATAAACTCCTGGTAAGGCTTCAGCCAAATTAACGTGTGTTCAAATCAAGGCGTCCCCAAAAAAGGTTGATCCCCTACCGGATTAAAAACAAACAAAAAAACAGCAACAAAAGGACATCAACAGCACACACACACCATTCACACACACAGACCCACACCATTTGGTAGCATCCATACGGTTCGGATGCGCCATGGTCGTTGGACCCACGCCAAGGGTACCAAAACGAACCAACGGAGCATCAAGAGGTGTCCACAAGCTACAACACCCATAAACTGGGTTTTGAACTCTTTTAAATGCAAACCAAGTAAAATGAATGGCCAAAAGTTGGCAAACCGGCCCAATCAATATTCAGCTTCCTTATTGCTGGCTTGGATTGGCTTGGAAACTCAGGGGTAGCTTCCCATTTACACCAGGCGTCTACAAGAGCCAGGGGTTCAAACAAAAAACCACAAATCCAAACCACCACCGCCAATTAACGCAATTAAGAGGTACCTGAAATATGGCCAGAAAGTTACAAATGAGGGCAGGTACACTCAGACGTTGATATTCTATGTGCGGCGTACCATGAGAAATATTTACATGGCGCTGATCCTCTGATGTGCTGGGTGCTTAACAAGGCGCTGGACAGACCCTGGGCAGGCTCAAAGCCGAACACGGGGCACTAAGGTGACATCATTAACACCTTTGAAGACCTCGTTGGGACGGGCCAACATGAAACCGAAAGGGCGCCGCTGCACATGGCCCGGCCCGCCCTAAACAAACTGATGTGCCTGAAGTGATGTGAGTCGAGTATGCCTTTGAAAAAGGATGCACAAACAAACCCTGAATTGATGCGGGCTTTCTAGGAAGCTTCAATAGGGAAGCTTAAAGAACACCCCCACACAAAGGAAAATCGGGCTTCTTGGAGGCTTCTGAGGACATTTCAGGGTGGGGGAGAGGGGGGGGGGGGGGGCGTTCCAAAAAATACATATTTTTGGGATGGCTTTAAAAGGCCTTGAAGGGAAACCAAAGCAAACGAAGCCCCCGGGCAAGCCCTCCCCCAAACGACTCCTCTGGAATATAGCCCTCGCCCCAGACCGTGGTGGAAATCCGCGTGACGTGGGCGATGACAAAGGCCTCGGCCAACAGGCAATACCGGGCCAGACCTATGGGTGTCTGCAGACAGTTGACTGCTTTGTGAGACTGGTAACTGGTTTTTTTACACACATTATGGAAATAATGTTATCATTGTTTTTATTTTTTGAAAGTTTACCATAATATTTGTTTGAGCTTTGTTACAAGGCAAAGCAAAGTGACAACCCACAAGAGCCAAAAGGGGCAAAAACGCGCACGTCCGGCAATGCACGATTCTCATGGTCGAAAATACACCCTTTCTGAATTTCTGTGACAACGTGAGATTCCCATCCATTCACAGAACTTGGCCCCGAAGCCCAACATTTACACAAACGTGCGCACGAAAAGGTGGTGAAAGGCATTTGCCAAGTGAAACAGAGCTGCACCTAGCAACTAGTCTGCAATCTAAGGCGGCCTCGGGTTGGTAGGAAAACCAAACTCCCTAAGCCCAGTGAGCATCCTGACTCGCTTGCCATGGTCTGGCAAGACCACAAGTTGGCCCCACGCTCGCCAAAATTTACCCGCCAAATGGGGATGGTGGGCCTTGGGCAAGGAGGAGAATCCAACACAGAATTTGTTCGGCACCTCTTCTCAGGGGTCTGCATAGGTGTTCGCTGCATCGGCGAGCTTGCTGTTGACCCCAGATACATGTCCTGTGAATAGGGCGGTGTTCGATCCCAAAAGTGCAGAATCCAACCACTAAACTCACTTTACGGCTTTAAACTCATCCGGGGCGAACCTAAGTTGGAAAAAGATCCGCCGCCAAGAACCCTGGGGGAAATCTGTGGGAAACCCGTGGCAAACCCACGCACGGCTCGGCTTGAGTTGAGTCGGCGCGTCGTTTCGCGAGTCCGCTTGAGGCACTGACCCAAAGAGTCTTCTCGCTGAGCCCCTGGAAGGATGGTGGGTGCGTCGACCGCTTTTCTAGGGGGCACGCCAACAACAAGAGTATGGTGTCCGTTATGCCTGGAACCCCCACGCCATGGTTGGGTTCCTTTTGGCTTCCCTTGAAAACCCAACCAGAAAGGGGTACCCTCAAAATAGACAAACAATCCCTGGTAGTGGATTCACTGAGCTATGCAGGATTAAGACCGAGTTGGCTGGTAAAACGAATGTCTGAAAAACCAAACGCGATTAGTCCGCCGTCAAAAAGAACATTGTGGCCAAAATGCGTTCAAACCACCGGACACAGTTCGTTCCCTGTCTGCGAAAGCGTTTGAGCACCCAGACCCGCCCGATTTGCCGCGTTTCAAAAGGAATCCTAAAAGGATTTTGTTGGCAAATGCGTTCAAACAAGCACACCCGAATGCGGGAAATCAAAAGGGGATTGTGGGAAAATACGTTCAACCAAGAGGGAAACCGTAAGGACACTGTAAGCAAGATGGGTTCGGTTTGCACGGACAAACTGACGGATATCATCGCAACATGCTCGCCAACGACCAGACCCATTTACCTCCCTTCCAACAAGACAACCAAAAAACGACTCCAAAACCAGTGTGTTTGCCCTATCCTGTGTCATCACATCACTCGCAGCAAAACAACTTCCACCCGAACTTGTGAGGAAACATGTTGGACATCAAGGGACGCCACGCAATACTCCGGTGATTTGGATGTCTTAAGGTAGGGGACCCCCCAAAAAAACAGCCATGGTTTGTTTTTGGTGCCTTCAACAGGCAGTCTCAATAAAACACTAAAAACATGTGATTGATCTTTTTGGACCTTGAACCTACCGGGCACTGGTGCAAGTGTATGATCTTTTAAAGGGCAAAGGCACAACCTTTAAGGAATATTCAGCTGATTTCGAACCCTGTGGTTTAGGGGAACAAAATCCCCAGTTCCCAGCGCTTCAAACCATCAACCCTTGGGTTGAAGAGTTGTTGCACGTGGTTCAATGGCAGCCCCATGCCTTGTCTTTGTTTCCCCGAAGGCCAAAAGGGAGTCTTGCTTTGACTGGGCGCTTGTCATATGTGTCAAGAGATTGGGACCCCAAGTGGCTTCGAAGTTGGCTTTTCTTTAAGCCAACCCCGCAAAATGTGCCAGAACCCGGTGCCCTGGTAGACCCAGCTCAGAAGTTTGCGGCTAAGCTTTGGGCAGGCAACCAAACGCCGCCAGAACAACGTCAACCCATAACCGATAGAAAGATTCGAATAAAACATGTCGAGCAGATACTTGAAATGCTGAGTCAGCTGGCTAGAAAAGCTCAAACTGTTCGGCCCTAGGCCACAAAAAAACAATTGATGCAGAAACCAGTTTCAACAGATAGTTCAGGGGCCAGGTTTAAGCCAAGGTTCAGACGCTTCCTCTTCAGAACTACCCTATGTCAAAGGTCTTCATCAGGGATCCTTACATTATACACCTGAACATTGCCTTGTAAATGGTGGCTTCCAACTTTATTTTGGTGCTGAAAAAGCAACATGCTTCAAATGGTTGCAAAAGGTATCTTTTAAGGAGCCCTGTTCATGTTACACCACCAAGGCGCTTCATCTCATCGCCCCTCCGGCCGAACATCCGGCCCGCGCCTCGGCGGCGGAGGCAGTGGTGTCCATGGCGAGCATCAAGAAGCCAAGGGCCTGGCATCCCAGGCATCCCACGGACCCCACCCACTCCCGAGCCATTCCTCAGCTGTTCGGATTGGATTGGATCGGCTGAGCTTTGGCCTCCCGACTTTTCCTATCCTCCATAGGCATACTCCATAGACCAAACTTAGAATAGTCTGTGCCCGTATGTCTGGCGTTGAGGTGGGACACGTATGTGTTTCTCTTCTGAAAATTTGCGGAAACATGTGATTAAATTCCAAGCCTTAAGGTTGGCTCGGAGCCAGCTCCAAATGGACGCAGATAGGTCGGATAGCGGTTAGCAGGAGAGGGATTGCAAATAATTGTCGAAACTTCCCGAAACGACACCCTGACCTGCAAGGGACGGCGGATAGCGATTACAGAGTAACCTGACTAAAGTGAACGTTGATCCCAATCAAAAGCAATGTAAAAACTAAGCCTTTCCATTTGGCTTGAGGTCCAGCTTTACCTTATTGATCACTGCCCCGCATCAGCCAAATTCCGCAGACACCAGCGTAGAAGCTAACTGAGTATGCTGCAAGAAATAGCCTTGGGCAAAATCGAACTCATGGGCCGATTGCCATTGACCCCTTGAAATGGAAGCCTACTTTAGTTTGCTGAAAAACACGTGGTTGACATGCTTCAACAAGCTTGGTCTTCGACCCCGCCAAACTAGAGCTTCACTGTTGCAACTTCGTGCGGTAAATGTTTCGTGCTGAAAAAACTGTGGCAACTGCCACGTTCCCCAGTTGCATTTTCCCAAACCCAGCTACATCTTGAGTGACCGGGAGATAAGCATTGAGCACATTTCGGGTCGATTGTTCATGGATCCCGACTCCACCAAACTGAAGGGCCCGGAACCCACTGACCCACTGCGCAGTAGCGCCCTTTCCTTGATTGAACACCCCTCAGGCGTATTTGACGAAAACCCCTGGAACAGTCCTCGCCCACAAACAACTCCAAACCCGCAGCGTGTCACCAAGTGCAGGCCTGCAGACCCGCTGCCAGCGTGAGCCAGTAGTCCTTAGCCAACGCTCTGCGGAAAACGAAGGGGACTAAGACGAGCACTTGCAAAGGCGTCTGGCAAAACAGACATTGGGCACATTCTGCCGAGCTCACCGATGTGAAGGTGGCCCCTCATTTCCATACTCAGTTGCCCAAAGCTCCGACCTTTTGACTTTTTGGTATTTCCGATGTTGGTTTATTTTACTCATGCCCCCAAAAGGTGTAGTTCTGGGTTCGTATCATGGCAAGCCGTTTCGGACAAAAAACCCAAGGGTCGAAATTGTCCCCTTGCCTAGGATTCAGATTGCATGATTGAACGCAGGTATGCAAGAACTCTGGCGAAAAGCTGAGGAGTTGGTGTTAAAATAGGCGACGCATAAAATGGAAGGGCTTTCCCGCTCGTTCTCGTTTCTGGCTGCGCATGAGAAAGAGGAACCTCAAAGGCTCCCTTTGCAAGGAGGCAACTCACTTTAAATTGGCTCAAAGTGGCTCTTTTTGTGCGGCTACATTGATTTGTGTGGCTTTAAAGAAAAACCACAAAGGAAAACCACCATTTTGAAGGTCCCCGAGAAAAAGACACGCCCAGATGTGAACACCCAAGGTCAACAGTGAACGCCCTGGCTTCTTGGGCACAAAAAGTGACTTGATCTGGGTGACTGGGCGCCACAATTTGCAAGGCAACCGCTGGAACCCCCTCATCAAGAGGGTGTCTACATCCAAAGAGGGGCCCGTAGTTTTTACCAAACAAAATGAAGTATAGAAGCCAGTTCGACGTGAAACCCGTGCGTGCCAGAAAGGTTGTCAAAAGCGGTACGCCCCACGTGCGTTGATAAGCCACGAGCAAAGCAAGCGAGTACTGTTTGGTCCGACGCAGGAACCAACTTTTGCAACAAGATTGAAGTCATGGTTCTGGGTTGCTCATTCCCCGTAAGCAGAAAGTGTAGCCTTTTTGCGGGCTTAATGGAAAAGCCACTGGTTTCCAAAACGCCTAAGGGCTCACACCAAAGACCAGCTATGATTTAGGGACGTCTCTTGCAGGGGATTGTAGCCTAATCACTGTGACCTTAGGAACCTGAGCGCCTTCTTGCAAGCAAGCTTCATATGCCGCATTCGCCGGCGCCTGCAAAACATGGGCTGGAATGGTCAATCCATGGCTTGCTAATGGTTTCAATAGCCGTTCCAATGCCCAATCAGATATGTCAGGACATCAATACATATCATATATATATACACATACATATGTGGTACGCCCCCCGCCAGGTGTACCCTCATGTCCGTATTTTATTATGGAATGTTGTCAATTCTTGTCTACATCGGCGCGGTGATCACCAATTCTTTCGATTCAAGAGGCTCCAGAAGACGTGCACCTGCGCTTGTCCCTCGTTTGTAGACATCTACATATTGTACGAAGCCAGATCCTTCTATCTATCCATCCATCCATTTATCATCATTGATCCATCTATCCATCTATCTGTTGCTGTATTCACTGTATCTACTGTATCAGTATCTACTGTATCAGTATCTACTGTATCCATCCATCCATCCATCCATCCATCCATCCATCCATCCATCCATCCATCCATCCATCCATCCATCCATCCATCCATCCATCCATCCATCCATCCACCTCGCTCTCTCTCTCTCTCTCTCTCTATCTATCTACCTATCCTATTTACTTATCTACTTAATACCGACGACTTCACATGGGCACTACAGGGCAGTAGGGGCGCCTGCCTCATGGATACACTCAGAGGCGAGGAGTTTCAACAACCAAGGACACTCAACTTCCGCCGGAGGCGTTTTGCTGCCAGCTTGGGCGGGTTGCACCTGTCAACTGTCAACTGCTCAAGCTCTGGCAGGCTTAGCGCCGATCCATCCGCGCGTTTGTTCCGGCCGCAAGAGATAAGTTTTCGGCCTAGAGGTGGGCTCCTTGGCGTTTCACGAGCTCGAGACATGGCGCCTCTGCAGTTCCCTACGGCGGTGCGCAGGGTTTGCCTTTCTGAGCTCCGCTTTTGTTGGAAAGGGGCAAGGAGCCATGGCGGCTCAGGACGTACCTGGCTTTCGGCACCTTCATATTCACTGGAAAATGTGCAGGTACCTACCAGGGGACCCGGGGGAGAAACAAAAACCTGAGCCTCAAATTTGGGTCGCAGCCCGGTGGCTCGGGAAGGGGGAGGGGGCTGTCTTCAGACTTTCTCTGGCTTGGCCCTCGGATCAACCACTTCAGGTAGCGCTCTTTCCAGGCCTCCAATTTGTAGTACACAAGCCTCGCAAGCACATGAGCGAGAGGGAAACGAAGGAACCCAGAAACTAGGGGAATGAGGAACATGAGGACATATGAGAGAACGAAGGAACATCCCAAACAGGGAAAGGAACAAAGGAATGATCCCAAATAAAACCCACCTGACTATCAATCAGTACTCAAGCCCCAGCAAGGAAGACCTAATCATCCTGTCCCAATGCTAGCGATGACTGTCCCTTCGGGATAAGGACTGCGCATCAGACGTGGGGATATACGCGTGTCAAAGATCCTGTGGATGCACGGTGCCGGACCTTGGCCAATTTCAAGGAGAATTCGAACCTAGGTCCTCCAGTGGAGAGGTTGGAATACGGGTACCTTTTTTTTGTAGTCTATTTTAGTAGGGGAACCCTCCCCCAAAAAGGGGTGAGAAAGGGCACACTGGGGGACCTAGGAACGTTAAAGCTGGCCAATTGCGTGGGGGGGTGGAAAGGGGGGGGTGAAGTGGCGACCTGTAGCACGGTTGACCAGTTGGGCTTAATCGGCCCCGAAACCAGTGACTAAGCCCTTTGGGCCCTGATCGAAATGAAGAAAACAAGAAAAGTCGCGTCTGCTGCCCCCAAAACACCAAAACAAATTGGGGATTCTATACATCATGTTCCCCTGCCTGGGGGTTTGGGGGCACTTGGGCATCTGATAGAAAGATGGGTGTGTGCCTGCCCTTTTGAGGAACCCCCTTTCAAAGCATGGTCTAAAGGGGAAGCAATCATGAAAACCGAAATCCAGCTTCCGGCCCCCCAACATTTCTCGACATAGATGTCACGCGCGATGCTGGCGAGCAACAAGCAAGCCACCGCAAAGGTGCCGTACAAGACCTCCTTCCTCATGGCGGCGTTGCCGCGCCCTGCGCAACAAAACGCGCGTCAGCCTTGAGGCGCTGGAGGGATCCCCGTCGAACTTCCCGAGCCTGTGCCTTGAGCTCCCGAATTGCACGCATGTGTCCCAAAGGCTTGCCTTCTGTATGGCTGCCGCTGTCAAAGTAAAACCCAACTCACGCGCCAACGCTTGAAGCATATCATTGTGTGTGTGTGAGTGTGTGAGTGTGTGTGCGTGTGCGTGTGAGTGTGCGTGTGCGTGTGCGTATATGTGTGCGTATATGTGTGGGTGTATGAGGTGCGTGGGTTGCGTGGGTTCGTGTGTGCGTGTGCGTGTGAGTGTGCGTGTGCGTGTGCGTGAGTGTGAGTGTGAGTGTGAGTGTGTGTGCGTGTGCGTGTGCGTGTGCGTGTGCGTGTGCGTGTGCGTGTGCGTGGGTGCGTGGGTGCGTGGGTGCGTGGGTGCGTGAGTGCGTGGGTGCGTGGGTGCGTGTGAGTGTGAGTGCGTGTGCGTTTGCGTGTGCGTGTGCGTGGGTGCGTGGGTGCGTGGGTGCGTGGGTGCGTGGGTGCGTGGGTGCGTGGGTGTGTGTGTGTGGGTGTGTGTGTGGGTGTGTGGTGTGTGGTGGTTGTGTGGTGTTGTGTGTGGTTGTGTGTGTGTGAGGTGTGGTCGATGTGGGTTGTGGTGTGGTGTTGTGTGTGGTGTGTGTGTGTAATGTGTGTGTGTGCTGGTGTAATTTGTGTTTTCTGTGTATAATTGTGTTGTTGTTTTGTAAAATTTGTGTGTTTGTGTGTTTGTGTGTTTGTGTGTTTGTGTGTTAGTGTGTTTGTGTGTTAGTGTGTTTGTGTGTTTGTGTGTTTGTGTGTTTGTGTGTTTGTGTGTTTGTGTGTTTGTGTGTTTGTGTGTTTGTGTGTTTGTGTGTTTGTGTGTTTGTGTGTTTGTGTGTTTGTGTGTTTGTGTGTTTGTGTGTTTGTGTGTTTGAGTGTTTGTGTGTTTGTGTGTTTGTGTGTTTGTGTGTTTGTTTGTTTGTGTGTTTGTGTGTTTGTGTGTTTGTGTGTTTGTGTGTTTGTGCGTTTGTGTGTTTGTGTGTTTGTGTGTTTGTGTGTTTGTGCGTTTGATTGTTTGTGTGTTTGTGTGTTTGTGTGTTTGTGTGTTTGTGTGTTTGTGCGTTTGTGTGTTTGTGTGTTTGTGTGTTTGTGTGTTTGTGTGTTTGTGTGTTTGTGTGTGCGTGTGTGCGTGTTTGTGTGGTTTTGTGTGTGTGTGTTTGTGTGTGTTTGTGTGTGTTTGTGTGTGTGTTTGTGTGTTTGTGTGTTTGTGTGTTTGTGTGTTTGTGTGTTTGTGTGTTTGTGTGTTTGTGTGTTTGTGTGTTTGTGCTTGTGTTTGTGTGTTTGTGTGTTTGTGTGTTTGTGTGTGTGTGTGTGTGTGTGTGTGTGTGTGTGTGAAGCGTCCTGGAGCACGGACGGAAATTCCACATTGCAGGGGGACTGGAGCCGATTTGACTATCCAGTCCAATGAAGCTACGGCATTTCGGTGGATACCGGATCTGATCAATCCGGCGTACCTGCCTATTTCCTGACCCTCTTTCCTGATTCCTTTTGCGGTTTCTGTTTGTCGCTGTTGCTTCCTGTTCGGTGTCGATGTTGTGACCTGTTGATTTGCATTTGCATTCAAGCATTTTTACTGACTGCGTTTTTCATCTCGGCTAGTGAAGCCTCTCGAGATAAGTGTGTTTACCCACGGCCTGTCCGACATGGCGCTGTGGGCTGGACTCGCCACATGCGGGAGCCCCCTGCGAGGGGAAGACCGTTCATACGTTCAAATTCAACCTGCCGTTCAGCGCGTTTGACCACGATCAAGGCTGCAGCTTGAGGTCTTAAGGTATTCCGCACCCAAATGGTGCTCTGCTGGTTTCATGCGCGTTGCACTGCCTGCACTGCCTGCCTTTGAAGCAAGGCTGCACCCACGAGGTTTCAGGTTCCTAAGCTTCATGCGCCAGTGACGAGTTGGTCATACACCAACTCTGCGATTCGTGGCGTTTATGGAAGCTTTCGTCTCGGATGAGTTCAGTTCAGATTCATCGGCATAGCCACATGAGGCACTTTCATGAGGCCACTTGACAGGCACCTCTGAGAACCCCTTTGTGCTCGCATGCATTTCTGTGGAAACTTTTGCCGTTGCCGCGGGGTTTTGGCGGTCCCCTGGTGGAATTCCCTCTGTTTGGTTTCGATTCGCAGGTTGAAGTTGGCTCGCATGCATTTGCACCATTGACGCATTTTTGCCGCAGTTGTGGTTTTGTTTTCACCCCTTTCCAACCTTCTCTCTCCCTTGCGAGATGGCTGGACACCAGCTCTATGACATGATGCATTCGCTCCTGCATAGCATTGCGACCGGCACCGCGTCCGGCTCACCAGGCAATTGTGGACCGAACTTGCAGCTGTCATCCCAGATGACGCAGCCCATGAACCTTGTACCGTCACCCAACTCGCAGACGGCATCCTTCACACCTTTCCCCATGATGCCCTACGGCGGCCTCTCGAACTTTGGCAACCCGATGGCCATGATGCCCTACGGTGGCCCTCCCAATTACGGCAACTTGGCACCTGGCACCATCATGCCTTTCATGACTCAGAGCAGCATGCCATCTTCACCGCCCGAGCCTCAGCCGGCGCGCGCGCCCGAAGCTGCCGCTGCGGCTCCTGCCGCTACCTCCTCAACCAACCACCCTCCCCCGGACACTCGGCACCATCCCCACTCTCGCAGATCCCGTTCCCGCCACAGACAGCACCGACACTCCCACTCCCACACCAGCCACCATCGCAGGCACAACAAGTCGCACCGACGACACGACACCCGACGATCCCGCAGCTACAGCAGGTCACGTTCCCTTCCCGACACTTCCACCACTCCCGACGTGCACACCACTCCACTGTCTCCCTCCGCTCCCGCTCCCCCCGACACAGGTCCCACCATCGACACTCCCCTGCACCCAGAGCCACGACTTCGCACCGACCCACTCACACTACTCATGATTCCACCTCCTGGCGCACTTCCGGGAAGGATTCCAACAAGTCTCAATGGTCCTCCTCACACTGGCGGAACCACTCGTGGGGGTACCCACCACAGAGCAAAAACCGCTGGGACATGCACCTCCATGGCGCCAGCCACACCGGCCACCGAAACAACCAGGGCAAACGATCGTCCTGGTCACTGCAGCACCATGGGCAGCAACCCCACCCCACTTCCCGCACCGGCCACCACAACACTAGCTTGCCCCCTCACCCAGCACCTGCGGCGGCCTTCACTTCCACTCCCCCTCCCCCTCCCCGACCCACGCCGGCTACTCCTCACCCTCCCCAACCCCCCTTCGACAACACCGGTGATTTGGATCCCCCTCCATCGGAGGCGGACATCAATGCCACCACCACTTCCGACAACCGGTGGCTTGATCTATGGAGAAACGTCATGGACACGGCCAAGACTGACCCGCTGCGAGTTCCCACGCCTAGGGAGTTGGGGGAGCTGGACCCGCTTCCAGCCTTGGACATCTCCAGGGTGGAACAGACTAAGGCCATTTTGATGGACCTGGACCCTGCTTTGCCACCTTCACATGCCGATCTCCTCGCGGAATGCTGGGAACTGCGAACCATGGACACGGATGATCCCATACCGTTCGATCCCAGCTTCTACCACCTCTTGGGACGGGAATCACACGGCATGGTGTTCGCAACCACTTGGTTTCCCCGACCTCATCCTTGGCCAGTTGCTGGCGGAGACCCGGAAGCTGGATCCGGCACGGCCTCCCATCACGCTGTCATGTATGTGCACGGCACCACCCCGGATCGAGTGCGCCGCATGTGCCATGAGAACATGATCCGACCTGCTGCTTGGAGGCCCGAGAACCATGACTACCCGAGCTTTGGATGCTACGCTCAGGCCACCCCCACGGCATGCACGCCCGACACGCTCGGCCAGCTCTTGCAGAACTTTACAATCGGAAAGTCTCAACTCGGCGCCATCGCTTTTGGGGAACTACGCTCCATCAATCAGCACAAAATCCTCGAATCCGGGGGAAGCCACGAGGATCAACACAACGTGCGGCGCCACTTCGCATGCCGCCGAGGCAAAAAGTGGTGCCTTCACTCCAAGTTTGCGATGCTGAGAGGCATCGCGCTGCAGCGCCCGGCTTAGCGGGGCGCAAGTGTACCATCTTCCACCCAACCAGGAAAAGAATTGGTGCACTGTTTGATCGCCTTTTTCTTTGCTTTGCTGTTCTGCCTTTCTGCGACCGTTCTCTCGCCTTGTGACCTTACCCGCTTGATTCCGCTCACCAGCTTTTGGTTCGAACATTTCCTTTTCCCCCGTGTTTTCCCCCGTGTTTTCTCATGGCTTTCCAACCCCCTCGAGGTTTGGTTCCGATGCTCCAAAGGCGAAACTTACCACCGCAGCCTTCGCCCACGGCATCCCATCATCATGGCATCATGTACGGCAACAACATGACCGGAAACCCGTGCGGGGCCCTGTCCGGACCTTCCTACGGATGCTCTTCCACGACATGGACACCGCCAACTACACATCCGACTCCCTGTCAGACCTACGGCCAACCTATTCCCCATTACCCACCACACCCCGGCCCTCGTCCACCCTCCTTTGGCGGCTCTCTCCCCCCCCCTCCCGGCGGCAACCCCTTTCCCCCCCCTCCCCCCGGCCCCTTCACCCGCCCTCCACCTTTCCCCTCCCCCTCCACCGCCTCGCAATCCAAACCTCCCCCGGCCCTTCGACCCGTCCACTCAGTCCCAACACCAACCGAGTTCAACCCTGGCGACGATCACTACGACACCACCCGCGTCGCGGGGTACGACCTGCCCAAGGTCATAACGCACACCGCGTTTACTCGGCAAATGGGCATCGAGGGACAAGACATCGCTCGCGTCCCCCTCCTCCACCTCATGCACGAACAGTGGAACAGTTGGTGGTTGCGTCACCTCGCCCACGGAGGCGAAGTCCGCATCGTTGTCGCAAAGTCGATGCCGGAATCAGTGTTT